ATGGCGATTGCGATGACCAGTCACTGCATCGGCACAACCAGCATTATCTCGCCGTTCCACCTCAGCATCAATCGCACATTAGATAGTTCTCATCACACTGTCCAGACCACATTACCTCCACGTAGCGTTCCTGGCGATCCCCTCACCTCCTGGGTCGCCTATCACTCGTCTCCGCCCTCCTCACTACACACCACTTACGGCCACACTCGCCAAGCAGACCGCATGTATGTACCGCATAAGGCAGAAGACAGCGCCAGATGAGCGCAAGCGTACCACAGCTCCGATACCAAATTGCAATGAAGATGAGCAATAGCGAACTTCAGCAATCAAACAGCATCAAACATACGAGTCCAGATAGTCATGACCTCAAACCAACAGCAGAATTGCATCACGAGTTTCACCAAATAAGAACACACCAAGAGTTCATAATTGACAATCCTGAAATAGTCCCATCATTATCATCAACGAAGAACCAGAGTTGATATCCTATCTGGCGCTCGGCGCCCAGACTACATGTGGCAGATCCTATCTAGCCTATAACACAATGCCGAAGTTGACGACAACAGCTCTCCCGAAGTACGAGCATACAGCGACCAATGTCGCACGCTTCCAGCACCAGGTATGTCTCTCGCCTTACTCACAACCCCGTTCCCCAACACACAGATGCCACTTGCACCCAAAGACCACCCTGCGCCACACCCAGCTTACAGCAGCGCAGCTCGGCTATGGCTGCCTGCTCCTTCCCTGCTCGCCCGTGAGCGCGTAGGCGCCAGCCAGCAAATAGCGCAGCAGCGCTTGCACAGCATGCAGCCAGCACCCGAATACCGAATGAGGAGGCAGGCCCTTTGCTATATCGAAGTGGCCTGCCTGCGTCCAATCCCAGGAAGCTTCCAGTAGGCCCCGGTAGCCTGAGGCCCAGCACGATCGAGGACAGGCCTGGGGCCTGAGGTGGTTGCATGTGCCCAACTGCCTTTGGCATGTGTTCGGCCCAGTACCCGTATCCAGCCCAGGGCCTGCTTTCCATTCATTCACCCAGTGTGGCATACTGCGTAGCCACACGGGTCCTGCAGGGCCCGTCCCGCACTTTCAGCCTAAAAGCCTAAAACTTAGGGCTTACAGGCCCCGGTCGTTTCAGCCTGAAAGCTGAGAAACGAGGGCCTGCAGGCCCTACTCCGTTTTCAGCCTATTTCTGGGCCCTTCAGGCCCAGAGGCTTTTCAGCCTGAAACGGAGGGCCATTTTCAGGCCCTCGTTTGTTTCGACCTGCCCTAAGACTCAGGCACGAAAACTGGGTTTCGGAACAGGCTATTTCTGGCCTGTTCCCCACGCCAGCTCGAGCAGGAGCTGCAGCTGCAGCCCCTACCTTCCTTCGGCATTGGCAAGAGCAGCCTCCTGGACTGCTCGCACGAGTCAGGAGGCACACCCGGTAGTACATATGAGGTTCCCATGCACTTCACGGGTAGGTAGTTGTCAGTAGGCACGGGTAGTCTTCAGGATTCGGCCGCAGCACTCAGGAGGAGTGCTGCAGTAGTCTTCAGCGCTAGGCAGTAGCCTTCAGCGTTAGTGGTAGTCTTCGGCGCTGGGCGCCCATAGCCATAGAGTAGTCTTCAGCGCTGGGCGCTGGTAGGTGGTAGATCRTAGAGTTGGGAGAGATACTGGCGGAGGTCAGTGGTACTTACCTGTGGCGCCATCGCTCCAGCTCCATCTGCGAGGTACCTGCATCAAGGCACCAACTTCACAGGTTAGTACTGGACACAGAGAGAGAGAGAGAGAGTTCTTCTTCTTCCTCTTCTAAGTCCACCAGCTCTTCTCACCCTCTCGCCACCTGACTTCTCAGACTACAACAGAGAGAGACAGAGCTGTGACTTGAGACTTGAGGACATTGGATCCAGACTTGACATTTGGGATTCAGACATTTCGACGCGGGACTATTTGGGCCTGTGCCGACGACTTGGTGTTGACGACATTCCCATCTTTCCCCTCCTCTTCGTCTAACCCCTTCTTCTTCGTCTGTGTATGGTTGGGGCTGGCACAGTCTTCCTGTGTGAAGCGCCAGATCCCATTACACCATGTAACGATGATGATGATATGTTCAGGGCTGCATTGCAATACTGATTGTTCGGATCACTGGTATCTAAGTCTTCCGCTGTGTTATCTTGTACTTTGTATTGAGAGGTCGGTTCTTGTTCTGGTCTGCACGTTACAGTATGCAACACCCAGGCGACCCAGGGGCTGGATTCTCTCAACCAACTGGCGCTGCGCAACTGCCTGAATTTCCTTAGTTGCGCAGTGGCCGAAATAAGGCGCTGAGGGGCCTCGTCGAGCCTGCCTTCACTTAGGGCGGCCTACAGGCTCCCAAAAAGAGGCCGAATGGGGCTCATAGAGGCAGTGGCCTCGCAAAAGCAGCAGAAAAGGACAAAAGGGTCCCAAAGCTACCAGGACAGAGAGGAGTCCCGGTAAGCGATAGGTCAAGGGATCAAGCCCCATGGGGCTCAAAACGAAGAAAACTACCAAATCCAAACTAGTTGCTGTACAGCCCCACTGGGAAACTGCGATTTATTGCGTCTGAGATGCTGAGGTGGTGGGTACTTTCTTGGATCAAAGTGGTATAAGCTACATATGTACTGGCCAAAACCTTTGTAACGATGTTGCGTCGTGAATGCTGAGCTTTTCCAAAGTACAGTGTGTTTGTGAACTTCGCAGAATATTTTTCTGATTCAACGTGAATTGGCATGTCTATGTGGTGCAATGCCTCCCGGGTGACGTGTAGGTGGGGCGCATGGCAGGGCAATTTGCAAAGCCTCGCACCATGCCTTATGAGAATGTTAATGGCAAGCAGATTCCTATCTACAGGGGTGACAACATCAATTCTGACGTCGTTGACGAGAAAGCTCGGATTCCTGATCCAAACAGGATGATTCAATCCTACAACCAGTCTGCCGCAACACTCAATCTTTTGAGGGCGTTTGCTCTTGGAGGTTATGCCGCTATGGAGCGTGTGTCGATGTGGAATCTGGACTTCATGACTCAGAATGAGCAAGGAGATAGGTGGGTATATTGGCTATGCGTCCTTGTTTATTCCCATGAGCTGGGTTGTTTTAATAATCCCAAGTGTAAATGTGAGGACAACAATCAAAGCAGGATTCGTGACTAGCCCACATGCTGAGGTAGGGATCCTGGTATGCATGCCTGGGGGACTAAATGCTTTGTGGGAGGTAAATGAGTGTGTCATAGTTGTTGTCCATCATCATGGCTGTCATTGGTGTCATAGTCCATCATCGTACTGTGGTTGTCGTTGCTGTAATTGTTCTCGTTGTTGTCCCCCTCCGTCTCCTGGTTCAGTTGTGTTTGCCGTTGTTGTTCGTTATCAGGTTATTGCTGTTGGCATTGTTGTCCATTAAAAGGGCCTTTACCCGATTCAGACCCTATTCGGCAATTGCAGCATAGAGGGGTCACTCGCCCAAAGTCCGAAACGTGAAAGCAGATCAAAGGTCAAGTCCTCTGGTCAAAGGACACATCTAAACTAAAGCAAGAAGTCATTGCCAAAGGTCATGTTTGAATCCTGGGCGAACAGTCACCATTTGAAGGTCATACCTGTTCGCCAGAAGAGGTGCATGCCATGTCTGTTCACAAAGGAATGTGTCTATACGTGCAGTCAGTGTGCCTGTTCGTGCAGAAAGAGAATGCACATTCGTCTAATCCAGATGTCTGTTCAGGCAGTAGGTGTGTCTGCTCGTCCTGAAGTTGTGTCTGTTCAAAGTTGAAGTCAACAGACAAAGTCCCAGTTCTGATTTGAGTCTGGTAGGTCGTCCAGATCTAGATGTTCAGTCCAAAATATAGGCCGAATGGCCTCAGCAGCAGCAAACCTCATTGGGACAGTACTAGGACACATGCAATGCAGGGTCTGGGACAAAGGAAGGCCTGAATGAGCCAATGCAGACCCAGCGTGAGGAAGCCAGCACTATAAAGGAAGCAGCCAGCCTCACTTGACGCCAGATCTCTACTGGCATTCTGCGCGTGGAAGTGCTGAAGGACCAGTGCGCCAGCCAGGAGGAGCAGCGTTGGAGGATGAAGAAGCGCTAGATGAGAGAGGAAGACTGGGCGCTGGATGGAGAAGCAGCCATAGCTGCCTAGCAGTGTTAGAATAGAGGGTTAGTCGTAGTTCTCCTATGAGTAACATTCATAGTAGATCCTCAAGGGAGAAGAGTGTGTACCTGCATAATTAGAGGGAAGGAACTGAGACGAAGGGTGTGCATGGAAGATTCGGCTATGGTGAACACTTACCTGAGTTGTGTGTAATCTGCTGGGGTGGCGCTGATGTGTGGGAGCCACATTGATGAGTTGAATGAGAGATTTGTACTGCGCTGGTTGGCGCTTGAACTCAGGGATTCGTGACACTCGTTGTAATCATGATAATGATAATATAAGCTGAGCAACTCGGTTCTTTTCTTATCTCCTCTTTGTTAAGTGTGTGGAGACTTCTGCTCAATGTGGTTGATGACAAATGTATGCTGTGTGAGCACTCTCTTGCATGATTTGGTCTCCAGGACCCATGCAATCCTCAGAAGCTGGTTATCGTCGTTGTCATGGCTGCCATATCATCACGATCATTATTGTCGTCAGCAATCATCAATCGTTGTCCTTGATTCACACCAATCTTGTTCTCATCCTGGTCTTAAGCCTTGTCCTCGTCCTCGTCCTCATCCTGGTCTTCAACCTGGTCCCGGTTCTGGTTCTGGTTCTGATCCTTCTCCTTGTCCTATTGTAGTCGTTGTCCTTGTATTGTTGCTCATCATTCTCCTTGTCTTGGTCCTCGTCCTTGTCCTCCCCTTGGTTCCTTCTTACTACTCCTCGCACTCGTGCCCTCTTGTTCCTCCTCCTGTTCCTTCTGTTGCTCCCCCTTTTCCTTCTTTTGATTCCTACTCTGTATTATCCTGCCCTATAAGGGTGTCTCTTCTTGCTCTTATATTTCTTTCTCGTCCGGCTGCTGCTTATAGATCGCTTCTCTGCAATCCCTTGCCTGAGGATCATCAACGGAATTGTCATCAATCACTCTCTGGCCCTCCCCCTCCCCCAGGGCTATGGCTACCATGTTCCTGCATGATTGCCGCAAGGCCATGGCAGGGATTGGCATAGGCTCGATAGGTCCTTGTTGACCCACATATTCCAATTTAAATCAGAGTTGTGCCAGCAACCGGCAGGTTGTTTCAGGCCGGTTGGACCCCCGATGGTCCAACCGGAATTCCGGTTGGGCCCAAAAGTGGGTCAATTTTTTGTTTTCATTTTTTTTCTAAAACATGGTTGGACTGCGCTCGCCGAGATCTCCCAGAATCCGCAAAAACTTTGAACACACAAGTTTCGTTTGTGGGGGGGGGGGTATTTCAGGGGTCAGGGGTCAGGGATTGGGGGGTTTATGCTGAGGGTGTTAGTGGTAGGGTTTCAGCAAGCACGGGGGTGGGGGGGTATTTCAGGGGTTAGGGTTCGGGGATTGGGGGGTTTATGGCAAGGGTGTTAGTGGTAGGGTTTCAGCAAGCACGGGCTTCAGCAGACATTGACAACAACGTACCTGGCTTTCTACAAACGTTAACCTTTCACCCAAAAACTTCGAAAACGGGGCTGGGGGTGTTAGTGGCAGGGTAGGGGCGGTACTTCCCACCCAAAAGCTCTGAAAAGGGGGTTAGGGGTGATAGTGTTAGGGAGCGCTTGTCACTGCTGTCTGGTCCAAGTTGCCCTAGATACTGGTAGGATAACCACCGGCTGCCACTGCCAGCGATCACCATGGGTCTAGTCCTTGGCCTCTACAACACCCTCGGCTTAAATCGCTAGTACCTCTGCCAGTGTTGGGAAAATTACGAGTTTTTGCCAGTTCCTGAAGAAGTCAGGGGTGGGACCCAGGGTGGGCAAGTCCCATAAATCTTTGTTTTCTTTTACCTGCGCGTGATACATGCTCAGTTGAGCAATGTATATGGAGCCAAGCATCCACAAACTGATGAAAAGGACTCGAATGGACAATGCAGCATTAGCAAGGCATCACAAGCAATGTACATCCAGATACATAGCACAATGTAGCGCAGCGGAAGACTCAAAGATATGACCTGACTTGTCAGATACTGACGCGACATCCCATCATACACCACACATGTGAGAGAGGGAGGAGGGACCGCATACAACGAAGAAAGGTCCCTTCTTGCACACGCACATGGGGGAGATGCCACGGATGAGAGATGGGGGGAGAGGCGAGACGAAGATGGAGGTCAGGTAAAAGACCAAGATCACGATAGCGAAGTCCAAGAATAGTGTCCCTGTCGAATGTCCAATCAGTGTCTGCCACAAAAACATCGAATCAGATCCTGGGCCTGATGCCCGGTGTGACCTCTGCCAGTAACCTCTCTCTCTCTCTCTCTCTGTGTCTCTCTCTCTCTCTCTTTTTGTGTGTGTGTGCGTGTGTGTGTGTGTGTGTGTGTGTGTGTGTGTGTGTGAAGAAGAAGAAGGAGAAGGATAAAGGGGGGGAGAAGAGATGGAGGGCGAGACAAAGAAGAAGAAGAAGATGTCATCCTCGTTGTTGTCTCACCTGCAGATAACTGCCGCTGCGTACTGACTACCGTTGTGGTCCCTGTGCAGGCCGCTGGCGTGGAGCGCAGCTATGGCGCCCAGGTAAGTACCGCCGAAGCAGGTGCGGCCTCCGCCCCTCTGCCTACCTGCACCTCAACTTCTACCTCCAGCGTAGCACTGTAGTGTCGCAGCACTGCTCCAGCAGCGTGTCGACCAAGAAGTGAGCTACTCGAACTGTGTCTTCCCAGCCGTGGCCCAGCTATAAGTAGTGCTGGGCCGGCCGGTCGGCCTCTGTGTGCCTACGGTCCTGTGCCCAAAATGTGGACCAGACGTCCAGACCCTGAACCTGGCCCAGGGAGGTCTGCCTCCTGGTGAACCTGGCCCAAGGCGTGGCCTTGGGGACTGCCGGTCCGAAACGACGCCTGAACAGACAAAAATAGGAGAGCAAATAAATAAATAAATAAATAAATAAATAAATAAATAAATAAATAAATGACCCTGAACCTGGCCCAAGGAGGTCTTCCTCTTGGTGAACCTGGCCCAAGGCGT